GAAAGAGAATTCTTTGCAGCCTCTGAATGGCTGCATGGGAACGTTCACCCGTCCTATTTCTTTTTTTCCCCTGAAAACCCCTACCACCACGCTTAAGCGAACGGCCCCGCGGGGCATTGAAACAGTCGGTGGGAGACGAATTCTTGCTGCTTGTGTGAGATTTCAGCAACGGGCGATGCCACAACTGCTTTGCCACCGAGCTTGGCAGAGCGGCAAACAGAGCGCCCTTGGAGACGGAGCCCCCGGGGTCAAACCTTGCCTTAAGACCGACCCTTCTGCAGTGCTGAAATGAGACTGGCCTCTTGCATGGGGTTGTTGTAAGAATGGCAGAGTTCCTCTTTGCCCTGCTCCCTCGATTTCTACAGACATTCTAAATGCCATTGGCCTTTTTCGCATTACCATTCTAAACTGGATTTTTGTTGTTGGCCGGATTTTAGGTGAAGAGACCCAGGGACGGGGTTTTTATATAGTGAATTCCCTTCCATTAATGAGCCACGGTCATTTCATAGAGTGCTGCTTCCCCCCCCTCCGCCCCTTTCTGCCGCGCGATCTTCCTTGGACTTAAAAAAAAGCGTTCTAAGTCGAGTGCTGTAGCATGACTAGATCAATACAGCACTTCAGTGCTATATGGAGTGAGAGCCAGTTTGGTGTAGTGGTTACGTGTGTGGACCCTAATCTGGGAGAACCGGGTTTGATTCCCCACTCTTCCACTTGCGCCTGACTGGATGACCTTGGGCAAGTCGTAGTTCTGATAAGAGCTGTTCTTGAAAAAGAGCAGTTTCTGTCAGGAGCTCTCTCAGCCCCACCCACCTCACAGGGTGTCTGTTGTGGGGAGGGGAAGGGAAAGGAGTTTGTAAGCCGCTCTGAGACTCCTTTGGATAGTGAAGGGCGGGGTATAAATCCAATATCATCTTCTTCTTTTACCTCACAGGGTGTCTGTTGTGGGGAGGGGAAGGGAAAGGAGTTTGTAAGCCGCTCTGAGACACCTTTGGGTAGTGAAGGGCGGGGTATAAATCCCAATCTCTTCTTCTTCTCTATAGTGGCACCACTGAGATGCCTTGAGCCAGTTTGGTGTAGTGGTTAAGAGTTGGAAGGACTGTAATCTGGAGAACCAGGTTTGATTCCCCACTCCTCCACATGAAGCCAGCTCGGAGACCTTGGGTCAGTCACAGTTCCCGAGAGAGCTCTCTCAGCCCCACCTACCTCACAGGCAGTGTTCCCGCTAAGCTGAGTTAGTGTGAGCTAGCTCGCAGTTTTTAAGCCTCCGGCTCACACATTTGTGTCTCAGCTCAGGAAAGATGGCTCCAGAAGAGCAAACTAATTTATGCAGCAGCCACATCGCTGGCTCACAACTTTAATGCCAGTAGCTCACAAAGTAGGATTTTTGCACACAAGACTCCACAGCTTGGAAGGGAGCATTGCTCACAGGGTGTCTGTCGTGGGGAGAGGAAGGGAAGGCGATTGTAAGCTGCTCCGAGACTCCTTTAGGTAGTGAAGGGCAGGGTATAGAAACATTCTTCTTCCTCTCCCTCCTCAATGGTGCCGCTATAGCACTGCAGTGCTATATTGGCTCAGCGCTGTAGCGTTCAACTTAGAACATTAAAAACAAAAGTCTGAGGATCGTGTGGTGAAAAGGTGCAGGGGGGGAAAGTGGCATTGTAGGAAGCTGTAGGGACATTCTAAACAGCATCCCACAGCGATTTAGAAGCACAGCAGAAGGGTTGAAAATGGGGGGAAAGCAGCTCAGCCAAGCTTTGCTAACCTGTCACAAGCGGGTTTGTACGAACAGGTAAATGAATTCCGCTAGCACCCGGTTACTCAAACGGGTCTGTCTGGAATGACAGGAAAAAATCCATTAGCCAAACACTGACTAAAATGGAACACAAGGGCAGTTTGAAAAGAGCCGTCGTATTGTTCCTTCTGGAGGTGAAAGACAGTTTGGTGTAGGAGTCAGCTTGCTGTAGTGGTTAAGTGCATAGACTCTAATCTGGGAGAACCGGGTTTGATTCCCCACGCCTCCACTTGCAGCTGCTGGATGACCTTGGGCAAGCTATAGTTCTGTCAGAGCTGTTCTCTCAAGGGCAGTTCTGTCAAGAGCTCTCTCAGCCCCACCTACCTCACAGGGTGTCTGTTGTGGGGAGGGGAAGGGAAAGGAGTTTGCAAGCTGCTCTGAGACACCTTTGGGTAGTGAAGGACGGGGTATAAATCGAATCTCTTCTTCTTCTTCTACTTGGCGGCGGGGGAAGAGAGAGGTCGGGGAAGGGTTTGTATTGAAATGGCTGCTTTGTTCCGGTTTTCTGCAGGATCACTATACTAGGCACGGGCGCCAAGTGGTTGGCGGTGCTCGAAGAGAAGAACCTGAAGCCCTGTAAGTGTCGGGCACCCTTTGCATCCCTTTGGGTTCACAGTCTCTCTCGCTGCCTCGCCTCATTCTGCATGCGTTTGTGAAGGGGGGCTGGGTCTCAGGAATCCACTCTTATGAATGGAGACGCTTTGTTTGGCACAAGGAGCCTTATTTCAGGCAGCAGGGGGAAATGCCACCATCAGTGGGAACGGAACCGGGGGATCCCACCCAGTCACGTTCCCATAGAATTGAGGATTTGTTTGTGAACAGCTAGTTTGGAGTCCCGTTGCACCCTAGAGAGGCCGCGGTGGCTCAGAGGTTAATACGCTGAGCTGCAGACCGGAAGGTCTGTAGTTCGCCAGTTCGAGACCCGAGTGCCGCGTGACGGAGTGAGCTCCCGTCTCTGGCCCCAGCTCCCGCCAACCTAGCAGTCCGAAAGCAAGAAATTGCAAGTAGATAAATAGGTACTGCTTCGGTGGGAAGGTAACAATGTTCCGTGCGCCCCGGCGTTTAGTCATGCCGGCCACATGACCGCAGAGAAGTCTTCGGACAGCGCTGGCTCTTTGGCTTGGAAATGGAGATGAGACCCCTAGAGTTGGATTGGACTAGCTCTTGAGGAAGGGAAACCTTTACCTTTTAGCACCCTAGAGACCAATGGGATTTTGGGGGGCGTGAGGTGCCACTGGACTCGAATCTGGCTGTCGTGCTGCCGGCTGACACGGCTCCCCTCTGAAGCATCCGTGAACTGTGGTCGGTCTCATCCCGCTCCCGGCGAGGTCTCTAGAAGCCGCAATGATTGGATCAGCCTTTCCCGAAATATGTTACGATAACGAACGTCGTATTTCTAGCACTGTCTTGTTTGTTGCATTGAGCAGGGGAAACTTTCAGCTTAATGCCTATTCCTTGACCACGGGAGCCGTTCAAGTGTGTATAAATTCATATGCATGCATTGAATGTTTCTGTATGATATGTGATGCAAGTTCTTGTATTGTATAACTCATGTCGGAAAGTGTTTAATAGAGAGCTATATAACATTTGATGGTCTGTTTTTGGTGTGATTTGGTTGATAGTGTGTTATATCTACTCACACCGAACGCCTCATTTGTGTTTGTATATCTGGAGCTGAGTGGCAACTCGAGGAAGAGCCTTCTTGGTTGTGGCTCCAAAACCTTGGGCCTCCCCTCTCTCTCTCTATCTGTGTCTTTTGCCAGCCGGTGGAATTTTTTTTGCTTTGTCTGGCATACTCCCAGTGGACGGTTACTGGTCCTCCTCCTGGCGTTTCATCTTTTCAGTTGAATCGTTTTATCATTTTAATAACATTTTAAATCACTGAAATGTTTGAATGTTTTTTCGTTCCCACCGTGTGGACCCCGATTGGGTGGAAACGCGGCAGAAAAATGTTTTCAATGAGTAAGTAAATAAAATAAGTTAAAGCTGTTTTCTAATAGGAGACATCTCCATGTACTCAGGCGTTTAAGGCTCACTGGAAGAGCAGACCATGCTCGAAGCCTCTAGATTTTTAAGTGCCAGATGAAAAACGGAAATATAGTCGCATTACGAATGTTGCTTCATGCTTGATCTCTCCCCCCCCCGCTTTCCCCGCAAGGTGAAACTCATAACCTCCAGACGCTCCATACCATCCTGTCGACCGGCTCGCCTCTCAAGCCCCAGAGTTACGAGTACGTCTACAGGTGCATAAAGAGCAGCGTCCTGCTGGGATCCATTTCAGGTAGGTGATTTCCAGAGGCCGGGCCTTGGCTCGGGCGTTCCAGAGGGTACCGGCAGAGGGATGTGGATGCTGTGGTCGCTAAGCAACAGCGGGGCTTTGCGCGTCTTTGGCCACCGCAACTGTCCTGTGTTGAGTCACTGGTCCATCTAGCCCAGGGGTGGCCAAACTTACCTAACTTAAAGGTAAAGGTAAAGGTTCCCTCGCTCGAAAGCCGGTCGAGTCAGACTCTAGGGTTGCGGTGCTCATCTCCGTTTCAAAGCCGAAGAGCCAGCGCTGTCCGAAGACGTTTCCGTGGTCATGTGGCCGGCATGACTAGACACCAAGGCGCACGGAACGCTGTTACCTTCCCACCGAAGTGGTCCCTATTGATCTACTTGCAATGTCTTGCTTTCGAACGGCTAGGTTGGCAGGAGCTGGAACTAGAGACGGGAGCTCACTCCGTCATGCTGCACACCCGGGTCTCGAACTGCTGAACTACCGACCTTCCACAGCCTGCAGTTCAGCGTCTTCACCACTTGAGCCACCGCAGCTCTAACTTAAGAGCCACATAAAATAAATGTCAGATATTTGAGAGCTGCGAGACATGAACAAATACATAACCCACAGGTTTTTATTGGAACTATGCAGATTTGCTTTTTATGAACATGAAAGGAGACTGCTGGAAATAAAAACAAAAAGGGTAAAAATAGAGATTGATCATGATATTTAACTTCAGACGGGGAGAGAGAGGAAGGAAGGAAGGAAGGAAATGATGGGGGGGGGGGGGGGGGAGAAGGAAAGGAAAGGGGGGTATATCTGTGACAGAGCCACATGTGGCTCCCGAGTCGCAGTTTGGCCACCCCTGATCTAGCCGAATACCCATCTCTCTCGGCCCTGCTATCTGAAAACCTCTGACTGTTTCTTTTAAAATCGGAGATGCAAGGACTG